AACTCTTGTACTTGCACATGAAATATGAGCATTTTGAGTATGCATGATCTATGTGACAAAAGACGCAAATGACAAATGGAAAGGAAACCTTTTTTTTCTGTTCCCCGTATCCATATAAATTTGATCCGTTGCCTAACATTACCGTGTGCTGTGTGCTGTGTGTGAATGAGTGTGAATAAAAAAAAAACTGAACAGTAATCAAAGTGCATTCGATATTTTGCATGGAAACGAAAATCAAATGAAATCTAATATTAGTTGATGTGTTTGCGCTTCAAGAGTTTTCAAACGATCGAAACGCAGCCCAAATCAAAATGTTCAATGAATCGGGTTTTTTCGATGTTCGTTTCAATCGTTGTCCCTTTTGTCCCTGCATATGCAATTTTAGTTGCATTTTACTTGCTGCAATTTCAAATATTGTGTTCAGCTTGATATTCGCTCGAATCGCAAAATTAAATGTGTTAATCGATTAGGATCATAGCGATAGCTATCAATTTTATTACAATCTGAATTGTGTGCTTTCGGTTCTCTCGTTTCTCGGTTATATGCGTTGCGTGCATGTGTGTGTGTGGATGGTAGATAAATCTGTCTTGGTACATGTAATTGAATACGATGTCGAAAACAGAATGTCAGTGTTGTCGGTCTCTTACGAATCAACATTGCCGACGGTAGATCATCAGATTGCCCCAGAGTCACAATGAAGAAAAAAGAATGTCATTTCTCATCAATGTGTGAGAAATACTTTTCATGTCTTCGAGCCGAATCAACATAAAGTTTTTGTTTTTTTCTTTCTTTTCCTCTTTTCCAAGTAAATTGATTCAATTCAAGTTTCATCCCCTAGCATTGCACTGTCGACACACATTATTTTCCAATTCTCTCTCTCTCTCTCTCTCTCTCACCCAATCGATATGGACGATCAAATTGATGCACACTCAACATTCCAGCATTTTTTTCAATTCGTTTCTGGGCAATAAATTTTGAACATTCAATTCCCGAATGCATGAGACATCAAAAATTCATATATTGAATTTTATGCTCGCTTCTATAATTTATTGGGTTTCCTTTTGATTTGAAGCACGGAAAATGGCATTTGTGTAAATATGGGCCGCAACAATAGGGCCATTTTATGCGAAACAGTTGGATATTTTCAATAAAGAGTGAACATTATTGTTTTCTTTTTTTGTCTTCGCTGAACTATTGACATTCGGACGATGGTGAGAATGGAAAAGTTTTCGACCGAAGCGAGATTTGAAAATAAAATGCAGTTTGTGCGATTCTGTCCTGGGCTTACAATAAGCTGAGATTTAACTGGTTTTTAGATTTAAAAATATTGTTGTTGGAGCCGCTAAATCGTATCAAAATTTTGTCAACAATCATCAACCTATGTTGATTCATATGTAAGCCTATAATCACAAGGCGTCCTATTATTTGATGTACATGATCGCGTTTGTTTTCCTCTTGCATTTGTGTTTTAGTTCATGTACTTGCGTTCATCATTTGACCGATGTTTGTTTTGATTGGCTCAAATTTAAACTGATTCGGAACAAGCGATTAGAATTGCCAGTCCTCAGATATCTTGTGGGCAGAGAAATACGGATCGTGTGTGTGCGTTCGCGCTCACTCCGAGAGACGACCGAAAGCGATGAGAAATTCTAACATGAAATGTGGTCCGTTTCATTATTTGTACTTTAATATCATCATCATTGTGCTGATAGAGAGAATATTTATATAGGTACATAAAATGAATCGAAGTCACGAACCAGAACGCGCGATGCTGTATACAAACTACTGTCAATGCGCAAAACATGTCGAAATTCATGGCTTTTTGTTTCACGCCACGTATATATGCTGGAGTCCATTTAATTGTGTTTGAATTAACGAGAACAAAAAAATTTGCTGCAAACCAATTGATAAACACAATTCAAAGCGAATGCTTTATAAAATGCTAGAGAACAAATGCATGGAAATCTGTGCGCATCACATTATGTATTAGTTTTTTTCATCGGTATTTTTTTTCGATAAAAATGTTGTATTTAAATGAATTTCTGTGCCGTTTTTTTTGGTCGCAACATTCAATCTAAAGTAATTGGATTTTACTCTCGAAAAATGCATGCGCACATCAGAATATGTGTCTGGTTTAAATGAGATTTTGCTTGGGAAATCCTCATTCGATAGGCGAGGATCATGATTGATACGGCTGGCAGAAATGAGAAATGCATCTAAATATGATCACAAATCGATAAAAACCATTAAAATAAATCGCCTGTGCCATCATGGAAAAAGCCATTTTTCGTGTTGTTACTTTTTTTTGCTGCTCTTCTTCCTGTTTTGTGTGCGTATGTGTTTCGCTGATGGAATGAATTTATATTGTGCGTTAACAAAAGGAATTGTCGCGCTCAGCAGCAGCAGCAGCAGCAGCAGCTCAAACAAATCCCATTAATTTCGGATGTCTGTTGCGTATGCGGTTGAATGCTTATTGCAAACCGAATAAAATCTCTCAATGTTATAAATGCGTTTTATGTGTGTATACGAGCGAGCGAGCGAGCGATTGTGTTGATATGTGTGCGTGCATGATGAAAATGAGAAAAGAATCGGAGCGAGAGAACGAATGACACTGAGCTGCAACAGCAGGCCAAATTTATAATGCCGAATGCCACACACACACACATTAACAAAAACACGAGAACGAAAATGAAAATAAAAATAAATTGCATTTTATATGGCTTTCAATTTTTGAAGGATTAAAAGTTGATGGGTTTGTGCGTGTGCAAGAATGAAATCTATCTCTCACTCTCTCTTTTCCACGCACAACCCAAATGACTGACTGACTGAGTACCGTTTTGATTATTATGTATTCGATGCGCTTGTAGCGATTATGTGCAAAAGAATATAATTTATGGATAAAAATATCCATCGAGCAAACAATAGAGCATCAGCTCTAAGGCGATGACGATGGTTTCTAATATATGTGCTAGCCATAGATTCCATTTAATTATTATTAACATAAACAACTGCACCACCATCACCGCCGCCACAAACAGAAGAAAAATGCACACTCACATTTATGAAATTAAATCAGCTTTTATGAAATCTCCGTAAAAGCAGCCACACCACCAAATATTCATATAGGCAAATACAGTAATTGAAATTATGCCATCGACAGGGAAAAAAATGAGCCTCACACGGAATTGATTTGTGGCTACATTTAACCGAGTCTCTTTTTTTCATGCACAAAATGCATTTCGAATATGTTGTTCGCATCTGTTTGATTGAAATGATCGAAGCGCATGAAATATGAAAAACACGAAGTCGCGATTGCATGATCCGACCGAATAGAATGAGAACACGCGGAAGATGACGAATGTCTGAAGGAAAGGAAAATGCGAACAGACAAAGCAAATCCAATAACAGTGTCGCGGCTGAAGTTCTCTCGGCGAGACGACGAAGGAAGAATCCTTTTGTATAACTGTTTTTTGTGTATGCTCGCACGTGGTCGATGTTTAATACGTATGAAATTTGTGCGGTCGTTGTTGTGTATTCGGTATGTGATTGTGTGTGTACGGACCGTTTCTGGCTTTAATTTTCTTCCTTTTTTTTGGTCTGTTTTTGGTGTTGTTCTTTGGTAAACATAAAAGTGGCGCGTGCTCTCACAAACATTCAAAGGCATGTGTAAAACGAATTGACTGCAGGCTATAAACCTGGTCCAGTCATGCACATTCATACATCTCACCGAGTTCTGCTGTTGTTTTTTTGTCTTCTGGCGAAATATTTCGCGAATAAACACCTTTTTTTGCTTTAAACAGATTAAACAGATGATTTGCATCCTTCAATTTGCATCTTTTGTTGAATGACGAATAGAGACGAGAGAAAAGAAGGTGAATGATCCATACAAGATTATCCTCTTCACAAATACACAGCAAATCCGGTTAAAACAAACTCGTAAGGGAAACAATCGCATTTGGCTTACCCAAAAGAGTAGTAGAACAAAATTGACTTCGGTAGCTGTGTGTGTTTCGATTGATGACGATTCATTTCCATTATGTAGGAGAGTTTGGATGCACGATGAAATGGAATCAAAGGCCGCAAAACAAAGCGCTTACACATACAATGAAACGACAAAAGGTGCAAAATGAAGAGACGAAACGGAACACAAAAAGAGACATGAAACAAGCGCACTCGTTCGCGCACATACGTAGACACTAAGTCATATTGATGATGGCATTGTTATGGCTGTGCGGTTTTTTTTACAAATGCATTTTCCAAAAAATCACATGCTCGCCTTTTTTTCGACGAATGGTACATCACACATTGGCGTTTATTCATGTTTTTACCTTGATTTGAGTCGAATGGCTTTTGTATGAGTTTGTTTTGTTTTTTTTTCTTTTTCTTTCGATTTTTTTCTTTTCGTTGTCCCGAAATTCGTTAAGTATCGTTCGGGTTGCATGTGAACTATCAGCTGGCACATTTTCAACGCAGATTCAATACACATTCTGTTCGGCACAAGCCATACGTCTACTGTATGGCTGCGCTATTGTTCTGATATCTGTTTTTATACGTTATTTTTCATTATGCTCAATATAAATAAGAAGAAGAGAAGAGAAGTGAAAAAAAATTAGTCGAGGACTACACACGGTGCGTTTTTTGTCTTTCGTATACCTTAAAAACTCAGTCAATTTTTCTACACTTTGACGTTTTGCACCTTGATACCCGAATAATGTTCTTCCGACGTGAAACGAAAGAGTCAATATACAGAAGTAAAAAAAAAGTCGAACAAAAAAAACGATAAACAACATAATAAATGCAAGCAATTCAACTGAAAAGAATCGAAACCAAATTGTTTGTAGTGACAAAATGAACGCAATAATTTGTTGAGAATGATTCGATGGTCGAATTGCGTTATGATTTGAATAAAGTTTCAATGTACTGCTTTCTTTACAAAGAAATCCTTTTCTTCTTTAATTTTTTTTTTTTTTTGGTTGTAAGAAAGAAATAGAGCTACTCACCTTTTTGTCGGTCAATTTTTCGCAACGACGTTGCTTGCAAATCTGATGACTTTTGTCGTTACGGCACGGTGCACAATCGCCGCAGTTGTCTTTCTTTTGACAACCGATGCATTCACCGCAGCGCTTACGCTTCTTTTTTGTCTGAAAGTAGAAAAAACCGAAAATAAATGCTCCGAACAATGCACGTTTCCTTAAACGTCTTCATTGAGACAGTGGTTCGGATCACAGAGTTGCACTTAATCGAACCACGTTCAATGGATTTTGTTTCGATTGTTTGTTCCGGTAAAAATGTTGAGTTTGTTGTTTTAATCAAATTGATATTTGCTTCGAGCAAATGTTGTCTCAATTTTTCCGAGTTGAACAAACTCAATGATTTTTTAATTCAATTCTACCTGTTTTTCTCCATTTGTTTCTTCTTCGCCCATTCCAACGGCTGGACTCTTGAAGCTGGCCGTGCTTGAGATTGCAGCCACTTGACCCGAATTACCGTCGCCGGTCTCCATTGCACTGCTTTCGCTTTCAGCGCTCGATTCCAACGAACTGGCACGGATTTTTCTACGATCCTTTTTACGTGCATCTGTTGAACATACAACATTAAACATTTAGTTCAATGGACAATTGAATTGTGTACCCGAAAAAATCTCCTCCAAAGTAATATTTCAAATTTTATGACTGGTTTGACTTTCTAAATTCAACTTACCATTGCTGTTGTGTCGCATTGGTGAATCGGATTTTTCCATTTTGCCATTGTTGTGATCGAATCCATTTTCAATCATTGGATTCTGGAATGACGTGTGATGCAGTCCATTTTTCAATTCATAGCTCGGTGGTTCGTTTTTCAGCACGGTGACCACATTTTGTGGTGGTGGCGGTGGTGGTGCGTACGTTGTAATCGGTTGATACAATTGAATGTGACGTTCATCCAAGTATTGTTGCTGAATGCCTGGAATATCACGCGCTTGGATCGGAGCTGGAACTAGTGGATACACTAAAATTGTATTTCATATTGTGGATATGTGTAAACGGTTTGCTTTAACAAAAAAGAAGAAATGATTGTGCTTGCCCCCCAACGAATCCAATTTACAAGCGCGTACGTTCGGACCAAGCACAATGCAGAAAAAAAAATAGGAATAAATCAAAGCACACTCACCATATGGGCGCGAATTAACGGCCGTTAATGTATGAAAGCTTGGGCTTGACAACGGTGTCAAACCGGTTTGTAGCGGATTGATTGGTGTCAATTGTGTCAACGATGCATTTCCGCCGGGCGATGCATTGGCCACCGAATTGGGCGACATTGGCACTGGCACGGGTGTTACCTGTGGCAGGCTTGGTTCGGGCATCATATTTGATTCAGCATAGCTGTGAAATTGTGATTGAAACGATGGTAGTTTCGAGAATGGCTCGAAACCCTTCTCCTTCGTTTCCATTTCCCACGGTCGTGTATAATTATTGCTCTGTGATGTAATTACATCGGAACCGGATCGATCTCGATCGTAATAGTCCCACGTCGGATCCAGTTCGCTAGTAAATGTCGAAAACGATGGTAAACTAGTATCAGTGCCGTCTTCGGTTGTCTGTATGCTCATTATTGAGGACATTATCCATTATGAACACAATCCATATTGGAATGGAAAATGATTTCAAACGCACGATAAAATGAATATGTTTTTTTTGGTTCTTGTTCTTCTTGTTATTTCACTGGGTGGCTTTTCAGTCTTTCAAACAGAAAAACAAAATCAACTCGAAAAAATGATTTCTACTTTTCTATGAATAGTCTCTTTAATACTGCTAAGTGATAATTTTGTTTCTTTGTTTGTTGATAGAGTTTTGTTTAAAAAGTGAATGTGTATGTTTATGTGTTGTGTGGTTTGTTTTTCACTAATTAATTTGTACACTGATTTCCTCGTAGAGGTAGATAATCGTTCAATCGTTTTCACTTTATTTACACTAATCAAGCACAATGCTGTATTAGCCCTTCGTTTATGTGGGTTTGATTTTTGTGTGTGTGTGTTTTAACGTTCTATGATAAATGTTCGTTTCAAAAAATAGTGTCCGCTTTAGAGGTTTTGTGTTTCGCTTAGCTTTGTTTTTTTTTAGTGGTAAATTCAACAGGATTTTATATAAAAGGATTTTCTCTTCTTCTTTTTTTTTGGTTATAACGGGTAACTGATTTCGTTTTGAGAATTTTCTCTTTTCTTTTATCGAAAATAGACTTTTTTTTTATATTTATTTATTTGTTTAAATTTGCTCTCATTTGAATACGAAATAGATTTGGTTTTCTTCTTCTGTTTCAGTTAAAAATTTGTAGTCATAAGAACAACGTTTGCGTTTCTAAAAAGTTTAGTTTGTGTATTTTACGGTTGTTGTTTTTTTATCCTCGTGGCGCTGAGTTTGACTTTTTTGATTACTTTAAAAAATAATATTGTGTGTATGGGCTGTTGTTTAGTGTGAACATGTGGTTGATTGTTGTTATTCGTTTGAGTAGAGTTGCTTAAATGTGTTTTGTTTGAACTATTTGCTTTGTACTTCAGTGTTTCGTCTTGGGACACTTGTGTTGCTATTTTAGATTTTCTTCTTCTTCTATTCGCTAATTATTGTAAAATGTTTTTCTCTCGTTTTAACTAGTTGATTATTGTGGCGGCGTGGTGGCTTAATAATGTTTTGGTATTCGGCAGAAGAGAAAAACACAGTGATTTTCTTATCCGCGTCACAGCTGCATTAAGTGTGCATTCACAAAAAAATTGGATTTTCTTATTGTCGAAATATGCTTTTTGTTTTATGTTTTTTTTTCTTTCTGGTTTTGAAACAATTTCGTTTATATTTTTTTTAACTCTTGTCGAGGTGGCAATTTTTGGTTTTAAGCTTCTTAGACTTCCGTTTTTATTTTTTATTTTTTTTATAAAACTATTCTTTTCTCTTTTTGTTTAGCCTTTTAGTTGTATATGTTATAAAATAGTTGGTTGATTTGTACTATTTATTGTGTGTGTTTTGTGTTAAAAATGTTGTTTCGCGGTGCGCTTGTTGAGTTGTTATGAATCGATTTCGAATCAAAGCTTTTTTTTTGGTATATATGTGTTTGTGTCACTCACGTTACTTTATTTTTCCTATTAAATTCTCACTATTGACGGACTACACTTGTTCTTTTAATTTAAATAAATAATACAGTGATTTCGATAAATCAAATTTCACGAAATATGTGTTGTTGGATGTGTGTGTGTGTGTGTTAGGATGCACTTAAATTTAAACACGAGTATTCGTTTGATACGATCAGGCTAAGATTAATTAAATTAATTTGATTAAATTAAATAAATTAGACTTTGTTCATTTGTTGTTGTTGTTTAAATAAGGTGATGCAGCGGATGCTTGATCAGAATACAATCGCAATGCAAGAAGAAATTAACTTAGTTAAAAATGAAATTAAATACGCCGTGAACAAATAAAATTATTTTAGATGCTTTTTTTATACGCTTGTTCTCCGGGTTGTTGTTGTTGTTGTTTCGAACAATTCGATTGATTAGAATAAGGATTGAATAAAATGGTTTTGGTTATAATAAGTTAAATAAATTAGAATAAATTAGTTTAGATTTAGAAATTAGAACATTATGTTTTTGTTTTTTGTTTTCCTTGGTTGGGTTTTATTCTTTTAGAATGTATTTTTGTTTAGAAATTTTTCTTTTTATGTTTCGTTTCACTGGGTTTTTTTGTTTTGTTTTAGTTTAACGTGTTGTTTGAATACTTTGGTTACGTTGCCTAATTTAAATTATGATTTGTTTTGGAGATGCTGTTGCCAATGTTAAAATTCCATTTGAAATTCCATGCCTGAAACGAACAAGAAAATTTCAATTAATGAATAAAATCCATCTATTGAACACATTAAATATTAAAGTCGACTTCACATGATTGAATATTAAATGTTCTTCATCTAACGAATACGGAAAACCATTTAAAAATAGTAAAACTTCATTTTGTTCGTCTCTAGTTTCCTTCGATTGACAATATTCGGTGGCGATTCATTGAATGAGGTGAGAAATGTGTTCATTTGTAGGTCGTGTAAAATAAAGCGTCGAAAATAATCGGAACAAGTGAATATGAATTGTGTGTGGAACATTGCATATTCCCTTTGCCACTTTTGTGTGCCTGTGTGCCTGTGTGTGTCAACGACGCTTCGTTTTTCGCAAAATCACATACACGACAATTCCACCAGAATAATAACAATAATGGGTAAAGTGGTTTCGTGTGTATCCTCATTCATAAATGTTGTGTGAGGTCTGACTGCTCTCTTTTTGTTCCTTGTTCCGTCATGAATTTTGCATATGTACCGAACAACGCGCAAAGTGGCGAACGTTGAAAATACGAGTGTAGATGCATGGGAACAGACAGGCAACAGCAGCAGCGAATAGCGATTTTCGGTTTGAAATTCCCTATCGGAAATGACGATAGTTAGCGTTATTTTCCGAAGGGAGTCGAAGGGAAGTGATACAAGCAACTTGCGAACCTAAAAAATAGGGTCGACTTTTTCCCCATTTGCAATGAATGCATTTGGCATTGCGTGAGGGTAGCTCTGCCGTTAAGAGACAGGACCTCTCACTCTCTCTCTCTCTCAGTGTTTCCAAAAATTGTGCGTTTTTACATTCGTTTCGAAAATGGCATGGTGTCGCTGTTCGAATCGACTCAAGGCCAAGGAGTATAATGCCTATAATATAATGTGGAAAAAGCAATCAGACATAAATCGACGCGCTGTTGTTCAAATGGCAAACGAATGGGAGCAAACAAACAAAGTCGAAAGGGTTGCACTTAGCAGCAAGAGCAAGAGCAGAGAGAGAGAGAGGAACAGAACGAGGCGGCGTGCTAAAATCAAGGAATTATCGTAGACGAAATAATCATTTGCCATTGCTCGTGCGTATTTTTGGTAAACAGTTCTTTTTTCGGCGCGTGTTGTGTGTGTGTGTGTGTGTGTGTGTTTTTTTTTTCAGCACTTGCCTCGCAGCGAGCACTGTTGGGGTCAAGAATGACTGCACTTTGCAAACACACAACTCAATATTAATTCATGCTCATCGATTTCACCGAGACTACAGTAATTCCATGTTCATTCAATTCTTCTTTTCGGTGTGTGTTTTACTCTCCGCTCTCGTGTTAATTGAATGTCAGACACGGCATAGCAAATAGCAGCACCTGTTGTTTGATTTATAAAGGCGGTGCGCTGCATGCACTTATCGATTGAATGATTGTTGTTGATAAAACTGACAGTTTAACGATTACAAACTTCGAATGGATGGTTGATTCGTTTGCATTGTAATTTACATCGTTAAAAAAATCGGTGTTCGCGTTAAAAAAAAAATTCGAACAGATTATTGCGCCATGATATGCAATTGCATTTCAATTTCTTAAACACATGAATCCGCGTCGTGTGTATACGTATGCATAATCCTTAAGTGCATGCTTCCGGCCACACAACAAAAATTATGAGCTAATTGAGGGTAAATTCCAATCTTTATGTTCTATCAGGCACACTGAGGTACTCGAAGTAATTGCATTCGATTACATGTGCATAAAGAGAGAGAGAGAAAAAGTGGTCGATTTATCGCCCCTATTTAAATGTAAATCAGAGCATGAAACATACAGGTGTGGATCACATAAGGCACCTCTGGCAATGCACATCAGATAAGAATTTTATGTGACCCATATTTTGGCCCAGTTTTTTTTTGTTTTCACCATTCAGCTGCTCGCAGTTATGCCAGTTTCCAAAAGGAGCTCAACGGCTGAAAGAAAATGTTTGTGCGAAGTGGTCAAAATTAATTTCAATAGAAGAATTGATCAGCGAAGCCACAATCTTTCCGATTTAATGTTCAAAGCCAGACAAAATAATGTTTATATTCCATTGTTCAATCATCAAATGGGATCGCTATGCTCAAAGAGATAATCGCATGAAAATGCGATTTTAAGCGCATTCACAAATCCCATCGACGTAATCTGCTGCTGCCGCTGCCGCCGCTGCTGCATCTTCATCTGAATTTATCACACTGATGTTGACGACTTGTTTGGCTAGCAAAAGCGCACATCGCAATAGGCCAACACAAACAAAACGGAGCAACATAACGCAGCAATGGATAGTGAGAGCCACACTTTTGTTTACATCAATGTCAATGATGTGTGTTGTCTTGGCACTTTAACTCGATAAGAGAGTGAGAGTTGGAGAGAGAGAGGCAAAACGTTTTATGGGCGCCCACATTCACACATAGAATATAATGGAGTTAAAGGCAAACGGGCGCACAAACAAGACAACAACGATGAAGATGATGACGACGGCTACGACGACGGTCAAGTACAAGCGAAAGCGACAATGTCTATTGTTGGTTCTTTATCTCGACGCAAATCGATTGCCTGCTGTGTATCCGAGTCAAACATTATGAATGTAATCTTGAAAGTGAAAATTGCATAATCATGCGATTGGTTGTGTTGTGCAAGAGAGTGATTCGATTTAGGGAATCAACCCAAAAGATTCGGTCGGTCAGTCGTTTGCTTGGAACGAATTCGAGCAAACAACGAGACAAATGAGAGTGAGACCGTTTTATCAATTTATGAACATTTCCTCGGCTAATTTCATTTCAAATTCATTTCGACATCGAATCGCAGATGCAACAGCTTCTGTACGTAGCCGTCGTCATTGCCTAAATTCCATTCATCGAGTTGGTTTCGTACAAGACTTTTACTACGATTGCTCCAAAATTCAATGTCAATTTTACGTTTATAACATGTTTGCGCCGAGC